CTACCAGACCACACCGAAGGCGAACCAGGTGCCGGCGAAGGTGGCGGAGAAGAGGAGCAGCTTGTAACGCCACTGCATGTCGATGAAGGTGGTCCACAGGTCCTTGAGGTACAGGAAGCGCTTGTCGGCGATGTGCTCCATGCGCACGTTGCTGCGGCCGTCCTTGGTCATCACGCGGCGCCGGCGCAGCCCCGCGCCGATGAGCGGGCGGCTGTCGGTCTGCGTGGTCTGGCTGTAGTACACCTTGGTGGACGACGTCATCTGCAACAGGCGGCGAGGGGGTGAGGGGGGTGTGCGGGAGAGGAGGGGTGCTGGGGTGGGGTGATGGTGGGTGGGTGGAGAAGACGATGGATGAAGACTGACAGATGGAGAAGAGGAACCGAGAAGATGATGGATCAATGTAGAGAAGGGATGGTGGGAAGATGGATGGAGAAGAGGATGGATGGGTGAAGACTGATGGAGATGGATGGGAATGATGGTGATGATGGGTGCGGAAGATGATGGATCGAGATGGTGATGATGGATGAAGACAGATGGAGAAGAGGAATGGAGAAGATGATGATGGATGGATGTAGAGAAGGGATAGTGGGAAGATGGAAAAGAGGGGCAGATGGAGATGATGATGGGTAGATGGAGACTGACGGAGAAGAGGGAGGGATGGATGGATGGAGATGATGGATGAAGACTGACAGATGGAGAAGAGGGAGAAGATGATGGATCAACGTAAAGAAGGGTGGGAAGATGGAGAAGAGGAATGAACGGGGATGACGATGGATGGATGAAGACTGATGGACATGGATGGGGATGATGATGATGGGTGCAGAAGATGATGGCGCGAGATGATGATGATGGATGAAGACTGACGGCGAAGAGGAATGGAGAAGATGATGGATGAAGGCTGATAGAGCTGATGATGATGGATGGATGTAGAGAAGGGATGGTGGGAAGGTGGATGGAGAAGAGGAATGGGTGGAGAAGATGATGAATGGATGAAGACTGATGGAGACAGAAGATGGATGGATGGAGATGATGGATTGTGAAAAGAGGGATGGGGAAGATGGAGAAGACAGAGGATGGATGGATGGATGGAGAGGAGGGATGGTGGGAAGGTGGAGAAGAGGAATGGATGGATGAAGATTAACAGATGGACAAGGAAGTAGAGATGATGGATGGAGATGATGGATTGTGGGAAGAGGGATGGAGAAGAGGAATGGATGGAGATGATGATGAATGGATGGGTGGATGAAGACTGACAGAGAAGAAGGATGAAGAAGATGGATGGATGGATGGATGGAGAAGGAGAAGGGATGGAGGAGATGGATGATGGATGGAGAATAGGGGTGGAGATGGACGGATGAGTGGGTGGATGGAGAAGAGGGATAGACCAGGATTGACGGGTGAAAGGAGAACGACAACAGATGGAGAAGACAGAGGAGAGCGGGGGAGAAGATGGATACAGGGATGGAGAAGAGGGAGGGAGGGAGATGGGTGGGTGGAGAAGACGGACAGATGAAGGCAGAGAAGAGGGGTGACGATGGATGGATGGACAGATGGATAAAGAAGAGGGACGGATGGACGGAGAGGATGGAGAGGGGGGTGGATGGAGAGGACCAACGGCTGGAGGAGATGGAGATGGAGATGGCTGATGGGTGGACACCCGGACGGCTGCAGTGAGGACAGACGGGTGGACAAGGGCATGGCTGGAGCTGAGGGGTGTGTGGGGGGGGAGATGGAGTGGGGACAAGGGGCAGGTTTGCGGTTCCCTGGGTGAGACGGAGCCGAGGGGTGGCAGCAGGGGAGGACGTGGGGGTGCCCGGGG